ACTAGTTTTATTAGTATGTTTCAATTAACAAAGGCCTTAAGTATTAATAAATCATTTTTTCTCCTCACACAACTTTAAGATTCTGGGAGTTGAAGTCCACATATTTTAAAGTTGCCAAGGTTGAAAACACTGCTCTAAACACTGATTGTGGAAGCAATTAGGTAATATGCTGTTAAACCAAGCAATCCAAGTAGATGCTCACAAGTGGGGGGTTACCTTTTTTATAAGATCTGACAGTTCCATTTCCGACTTCTGCTGTATCATATCCGTTTTGACTTCTGAATATGTGTCGTTGATTATGGCCAAAAACATGTTCTGTTTAAGAAAAGCATTTTAGAAATCATTTTTAAAAACAAAAATGGTGATTTCCTGTTTTTAAGGATCCTGGTACAAAAGGAGTAATTTTCAATATCTCTAGCAATTAAGATTGGCAACTGCAAGCATAAAACAACATTTTTCTGGTCCTTTTAAGCTGATTTAATGTATCTTACCAGAGTGGTGATTTAAAAAAAAAAACCAAAAACAAATGGCATATGAACAATGCAGAAGATAATATAGCAGGACACACCCTTAAGTTTCATTCATTTTGACAGGAAAAGTAGATGTTAAATTGCCCCTTGTACAGGATCCTATTCTGAAATAACAGTTGCTGAATTGATTTCAGTTCTGGATTTATTTAAAGCAGCCTTCCCTGCAAGTGCACTGAGACCCCAACTCTCAGAATTTCCAGCCATTTTTTGGCACGTTTGCTGCGAATTCTGGGAAGTTTAGTCCTAACAAAGCTGGAGATTACCTGGTTGGGGAAGGATGGTTTAGATACGTCAAGCTATGCTTGAAAAAGGACAGAGACTGTAAAGAATAATAGAGCATCATATATGATAAATGAATTTAACCCTTTAGTAATAAATGTAGTAATGCTTATTCATTCAGAAAATGAAGCAGCTTCATCAATTGCTAGAGCACAACACCTGTAAGACTTCAGGCCAGCATTCTGTGTATATATGCCCAATATAAACCATATTAGTCTTGATTTTGAAAGGCACTTGGAGGTTATCAGACAGAGAAATCTATACTTTTTTGGTTTGATGTTTGTATAACCTGCCCACTTTTCAGTATAATAACGCAGCAGTGAGATCCTCCTCCTACCAGTTAGCAAACAGGAAGGATTTGGAAGATGCATGTTTCTGGTGAGGTTTAATCATCTTTAGTTCTTCTGGCATGCAGATAACTTCCATTTGAAAAGATGATCAGCAACAAAAATGTCAAGGAAAAAAAAAGGTTACATACCAAAAGAATGAAGAACATAAAGAACACAAATGAAGTGAAATAAACTGGTCCTAAAATTCTGTTAGCTTCTTCAACCTCGGTAAAGTCAAAATCTCCCAGCAGGATGCGGAACTGAGTAAAGCTTTAAAGAGAATAACACATATTTAGCCAACAGTTAAGGCATTGCCTGGAACTGGAATTTTCTTTGGCAATTAACTTTAATCTTTCAGGGTATTATCTAGTGCAAAGTCAGGTGTCTGAATGTATTCTGTAGCTGAGAGGCTGAAGTAAGCTGAATACAGTACAGTGGAAAGGGGATACTGAAGAAGCATGCATGGTAAAACAAAAAAGACAGGTTCAAGAATGGATGGGTGAATGTGGACTGAATACAGAACTGATTGACCAGGATGAAGGAAGTTCACTGAGAATTTGTCTGGTCACAGAAAATGAATGAGGACCACACTGCAAATATGAAGGAACAGTGAGTGGGATGAGAGGGATAGGAAGCCCAAGAAAGAAAGCTGTTGTGGGATGGATTTCATAAGATCCTGATGAAGAGAAGAGCGAGAAGTTTAACGAACAAAGGCAATGTCTGAAATAGTGTACGAATATAGTGAAAGCAAAGATGATTTGCAAATATAAAGTTCTATTTATTTTCATTTTCATATCTCATGTCTTTAATTTCTCTGGTTCCTATTTCTTACTCCCCTTTTGCACTTTGCGATATGTTTACTTTCAAAGGAAACAATGAGATTGTATGTAGGAAATATCCCCAGGCTAAACAGACTTTACTGAATCAGACAAAATGTTGACAGTCTATAAGACATTTATTGATTCACTGATAGCTTTTGAATCACAGTAACTCACACTTCAGTCCCTTGAGTGAGGACTATTGTTATACGTGGCTGACTTTGAAGATCTCTCAAAAGCTACAGTTGATCCAGAATGCAGCAGTATAAGCGGTTGTGGGCATTCTTCAGGGTGCCCAGGTCACACATCTGCTGTGTGAACTACGCTGATTACCAGCAAACTTTGGGGGGCAATTCATAGTGATTGTCACCATGAAGCCCTTCATGGCATAGGACTGGTTATATAAGGGACTGCTTTTCTCCCATCACTTCTGCCCATCTCATAACAACTGACAGAGTGGGTGTGCTTTATGTCCCACCTATTAAGCAATGTCTCCTGATGGGGCCAAGGAAGCATGACTTCTCTGTCATGGTACCTCTCTTCTGGGACAGCATACAGTATCTTATATTCCTTTTTTATTTTGTCCAGTTTAATGAACTATGATTGTGTTTTGAATTTATTCACTAACCAAAATTGTTGAGTTGGGCAGCTTTAGAAATTTTAATAACAACAAACAAACAAACAAACAAACAAATAGTTCATTCTACTTACACACTATCCTGGAAGGTACTGAAATCATTAACTTGTGTACCAAACACAAGGTAAGCTAGCTGAGCATAGGCTAAGAAGATGATGAAAAACATAATTGCAAAGCCAAGAACATCTTTGGCACATCGTGACATGGTTGTTGATAACTGGTTCATGGTTCGGTTGAAGCTGATAAATTTAAACAGCTGATGAAGAAGAGAAAATGGTTTAAGCAAGGAGCCAACAGTACTTGAAAGAATTGGGCTACTGAGTAGACAGAATTGCAATGCACAAACTCCATAACAAAGAGTTAAATAGGATATTTTAATCCCATGTATATATTCACGAAGCCATGGTTTGTGATGCAGAGTTGCAAGATTGGCGTCAGCCCTTCAAGGCAGACCAGACTTGAACACCAAAGTCATGAATATTAAAACTACCTTTTTATAGGGTTACAGTAACAGAATCTTAAACTCTGTCCCCTCCCAGCCTTTATCCTAAAAAGAACTAGGAGGTTTAAGTCTAAGACACTTTCTCAAATTCCATTCCTGCTCTGGACTCAGATTTCTCTTATCTGATTGTTGCCTTGGCTGCAGCTCTTCCTCCTCTTCCTCAAGGTTATTCTCACAGCCTATTACATAAGATCACACTGCCATCTTGACTTTTTTGACCCTCCTCCTTGCTGGACATCCTGGACTGGAGACAGCATGTACTTCATCCCTTTCATGGCTCTCCCCCCACCCCCGCAATGATTCAGACAAAACCACTTCATCTCTTTTTTTGTTTTGATCTGGGAAGGGAAAGTTAAGGGGCAAAATGTTTGCTTTAAACCTTGTAGAGGCTTAAAATGTCTATTTCATGTCTTAAACACTCCACAAAACTGTAACCTGGTCTGGTCACCTTTGGAGTGCGACCTCTGTCCATGTAGACAAAGTCATGTGTGGCTCTTGATGATGGAAGTTTTGCATTACTATACATGTAATCTGCATGGCTGCAAGAGAGAGAAATGCTTTAGACTTAAGCCTTTCTTCCTCCCCTATTATTCTTTTGCAATGCTAGCAGAAGGTCTTGAACACTCTTTAATTTTGCTTTTACTGAAACTTGAATAAAAACTATGAATGTGCTTTATAGCATTCTGGGGTCTGTGTCAAAGCAGATCAACGCTAAGCCTTGGATTTTCAATGAAATTTTATTACTAAAGTTCTTCCTGCTGTGTAAGATGGAAAGTGTGACTGCATGGGTAATGGTGGGTTACTTTTTTCTCACTAACCATGATTTATCACAGCAAGTGAACTGAGCCACAGCTTTAAGCAGAAATATTTTTAGGAGGCAGTTTTTAATTCCCTATGCAACCATATAATATTCATTCATAACATGAATTGTCATACACTTAATTATATTGTATTATTAATGCTACAATTATGCAATTAATGCTACAATTATCTATAACTAGATTGGACTGGGCAACACGGAGCTTTCTGCTTCTTTTTAGAAAAGCTCTTTTTCATCAACTACAGGCCTTAAAATAATTTTTATATCCCATGTCAAAAAGGAATTTAAAAAAGCTTAATTGCAAGGACTTTATTTACTGCAATACATTTGGGGCTTCTGAAATATTCTGTGTTCCTAACTTTTAGGGTCGATACACATGTAAAAGATCGAAAGAGAGATAGACCTTGAATGGAAATTGGTTCCCCCACCCCCAAATTATAAATATGCAGTTCTTCAAAAGAAAAAGGATATTCTTATAAAGTGTCCTGATTTACTTGAATTATCTCAATAAAGATTGAATTACCTTTATCCAGACGAAAAACATGGTAACAGCTGCAACATTGTTGAACTGGGTTTGCCAGTATGCTAAAGGTTCAAAATTGGGGAAGCTATTTTGATCTTCCAGCAGCTCCTTCAGTAGCCTATCCACAGTAGACATTTGATAGATATTCAACCCAATAGCTGCCAATGACAGCTGAGAGTAGAAAAATGAACATTAGTAATACCATACACAAAAGTGAGTGGACTAATATTAACTTTCCTGCACAATATTGTGATCCTGTCAATAGAGACTTGTTATTTTAACTTCTAGTTGACACATGGTACCACCAGAAGAAAGCACTTTGGGCATCTTTAGTATCATAAGTAAGTATCTGGAGTACTGAGACAACAGTATTTGATACCACTCTGTAATTGGTGGTTGATTCCTCTTTGAGGGAGGGGGTAATTCCACCAACTCTTAAGGAGGTAGTGGTTTGCCTCCTCCTCAAGGAGCCATCACTAGACTCCACCATTCGAGACAATTTTTATCCAGTTTCAACCTTCGCTTTCTAGGGAAGGTTGTAGAGAAGGTAGTTGCATTGCAGCTTCAGAAAAGACTGGAAGAAGTGGATTATCTGGACCCTTTTATCTGGAACTGAGATGGCACTGATCGCACTCTTGGATGACCTCAGGTGAGAGAGAGATTGGGATGGTGCTTCCATCCTTGCTGTTCTTGACCTCTCAGAGGCTTTTGATACCATCAAACATGGTATCCTTCTAGACTGGCTCCAGAAATTGGGGGTGGGCAGCACTATGTTGTGCTGGTTCTCCTCCTTCCTCTGGGGTCAGTTCCAGTCGGTGTTGATGGGGGGGAGAGAGATCCAGCCAGTGGCCCTCCTTTGTGGTGTGCCCCAGGGCCTGGTACTCACTCCCCTTCTGTTTAACATGTACTTGAAGTCTCTGGGTGATGTCATCCAACTGTTTGGGGTAAGGTACCATCAGTATGCTTTACATCTCCGTCCCAAGCCATCTGGGTGATGCCATGGTAGTTCTGTCTCAGTGCCTGGAGGCTGTGGGAGCCTGGATGGGGTGCAATAGGTTTTAGCTCAACCCAAGCAAGACTGAGTGGCTCTGGGCTTTTGGACCTCCTGGTTCCAGGGACCTTCCATCTTTGGTTCTGGATGGGGTGGCACCGCCCCAGACAGACCTGGTGTGCAATCTGGAGGTCCTCCTGGACTTTCAGCTCCTGCTTGAAGAGTGGGTGGCTGCAGTGGCTAGGAGGGCTTTTGCTCAGCTTAGGGCTGTGCATCAGTTGTGCCCATTCCTGGACCAGGGGACCCTGTTCATGGTCACTCATGCCCTTGGGACCTCCAGATTGGAGTACCGCAATGTACTTTACACGGGGGTGCCCTTGAAGAGTATTCATAAGCTTCAACTGGTGCAAAATGCAGTGGCACAGGCAGTTACTGGTGCTAGTTACTCGGTACATGTGAACCACTGCTCCGTGAGCTTCATTGGCTTCCAGTGTGCTTCCAGGTGCAATTCAAGGTGTTGGTTGTCACCTTTAAAGCCCTTCATGGCTTAGGACTAAGTTATTAATGGGACCGTCTCTCCCCAGTTGTTTCTACTTGTCCTATAACCAGGGCATGCTCTGGGTACTGTCAGCTAGGGAGTGTCGATTGACGGGACCCAGAAGGAGAGCCTATTCTGCCATGGCACCCACCCTTTGCAACATAATTCCCCTGATTGGCCCTGTCCCTGTTGGCCTCTCAAAAGGCCTTGAAAACCTGACTTTGTGCTTGAGCCTGGGGCCCTGGGCGTGAGTTAAAACCCATCTCCTGGTTGTATGGATGATGGATTAGATCGTGCCCAGTTATGTGCTTTTATTTTTGTTTTATATTATGTATTTTGGGTTTTTATTTGTTTTATTGTAAGCCACCTAGAATCACGTAAAAGTGAGATGGGCAGCTATAAAAACCAATCATTTTTACTGCAAGCATCTGGTTTCCTGTTCCATTGCCATGGCTCCCCTTATCTGGTCAAGCATGGGAAGGCTGCTCTTTATTTCAAATTATATTTTTTCTAGAAGGAAAGCATCTCTAGCAGTTATGGTATAGAAGGGACAAACAAGGAGGCACCTCTTTGTGCCTCAGAAACATACCAGATTGACCCCTTCATCCCAAAGTATTAAAACCTCCCTGCAGAGTTTCAGGAATATTTCAAATTTGTAAGTACTAAAAGGGTTTACTTACTGTGATAATGAGAACATCAAGACAGTTCCAAAGACTCCTAAAATAGAACAGCCTGTGGATGTGAATTTCCAGGATTTCTTCCACTATGTAATAAATAATAAAGAGGCAAAACACAATTTCACAGGCAGCCAAGAAGAAGTCAAAAGTGGAAATGTAGTGGATCAACTTCACTGGCTGGAATTGCCAGGATGTCACAAGACCACCAGTGGGTGGGAATTCCACCAATAACCTGCATTTAAAAATAAAGTAATTTTGCCGTAGGTTATTCTTTTGTTCCTCAACTGATATTAAAGATCTTTTTTAAGCCAAGGGTGGACAATTAAGTTTAAGCTGTCAAAGCTGTAAGCAAACATATCTATGGAAATCCTATGCGTTAATTATTTTATTAAAATTAATTATTTTAATTAAAATTATTTTTAACTTCCCACAAAATAGTGTTTTTATCATTTGCAAGCATTAGATTATTTTATGTATATGCCTATTAACATATGTTTGAAATAAATGCACAGTGTATTTATTTATGACCCTCAGTTTGGTGTAGTGGTTAAGGCACCAGGCTAAAAACCACGAGACTGTGAGTTCAAGTGTGGCCTTAGGCAGGAAGCCAGCTGGATGACCTTGGGCCAGTCACTCTCAGCCCTAGGAAGAAGTCAAGGGCAAAGCACTCCCAAAAATGTTGCCAAGAAGACTTGTTCATATAGTTGCTAGGAGTCAAGACTGACTTGAAGGAACTTCCTCCCACAAAAGAAAAAGAAATATATGCAATATCAAAATAAGCAAACAAAAAATAATATAATCAATATATAATTGAGGCTGGCAATATTAACATACACTGTCATCACAGAATGGGTTCATCTACCACCCCAGTCCAGCTCAGGGGGAAAAGCCAGGTCTTCACGGCTCTATGGAAGGCCAATAGGGTTGGGGCCATCTAAACCTTTGAGGGATGGCACCCTCAGCTTTTCAAGGGGCAGGCATAGGAACAGAGAATTTTGTATGTTATTTTCTACAGTGCAGCTATATCTGCTGGATTTTTCTCTAAAAATTCTTCTGCACATTTTATTGGAAAAGGGCCTAGAAAACTCTGCCTATTGAAGTATAATTTTATTTCAGGTGAGGGTTTTAAAAGTGTGAAATCATGTCAGATTGTACAAAACTGTAAACTGCACTAACCTTTCCCTTCCCTAAGACATATCCATAAGCATGTTCCATGCAGGAAGCTAAATATTAATGTGGTTTGGTTTTGGCCATCTCAAGAGTTGAACTTAAGATTCAATTACCTACATTTACCTACTTGCTATTATTCTTATTAAAAATACCTCATATCCACAATGTTAATTTTAGCCTCACATGGGGAAAAACACATACGTGTGTAGGGTGGCCTTACTGTCAAATACAGTGGAGATGACATCTACATGCATCAGACTGGGGTGTAGGCTTCACATATCTACAGTCAATGCTGAGTTAATAATCAAACATTCCAGGCCCACCTGACAATGCAGAAGAGATTGATGTTTGCATTGTAGACTGAAAAGTCAATAAATACCGCCCTTGTGCCTCTGTCAAGCCACAAGTTATTCTTAAGGACAGCAATCAGGGCAGAGGTGTCTTCTTTGCTTTTGGAAAGATCCTGGTAATAGCCAGCTCCACTGTATGTGGCAATCAACCCCCAATGGCTGCTTCCATTCAAGTCTTTTTCACTGGTGTACGTCCAACTGAAATACAACATTAGAATCATGAGAACTATTAACTTCATTACTTTAATTAATTTAATTTAATTAATTTAATTAACTTCATCACTGCAATCTTGAACAATTATGAAATGAATTATCTCTATGCTTTTTTTTTTTCCCCCATCAGAAGTAAGATGTGATGGCAAATATCTGAATATCCTTTGAATGTGGAGTGTTGAATTGAATATTTTTCCCAGCAGGTGGGGTGACAGTAATAGGATAGTAACTTGTAGGGTAGCTTCCAGAATAGTTTATTAGCTCTCCTAGCAGCATAGAAAAGCATGAGCATTGGGCACTGGTTGCACATGTAGTATACCATATTAGTCAAAATCTGCCAAAAACAGAGAAGTATTGTCCTTACTGTTGGCAGAGCATACATGTAGTATGGGTAACCTACGGGCTGGTAATGTACTCTACACCTTCTCTATCTTACTAAAAAGCATTAGGTAAGCCTTGATTGATAAAAGTTTGATGGGTGACTCATTTGGTGAGCATATGGAAGTTTGGGTTCTGGAATGTAAGAGAAATAAGCTTTGAACAGCATGAATGAATCAATAAACTAAAAGACAGAAATGGAAGGATGTAACAGTTTTGAATGAGGTTGATCTGATCTTATACAAGTGTGTTGCTGAATATATGAATCCATAGGTTGGTGATAGCTGTGCATTATGTTCCTGTGAATAATGATTATGGAAGAATCCGGGATAAATCTTGGGGAAAAAATTCTGAAGCATATTAATGAATGCAACACAGAAGAAAAATTATTTTGCCAGGTGGCTCGAATGGATGGGTGAGAACAACATGAGACAGTACAGAAAATGTGACTGGGCATTTGGAGATCCAAGAATGAAGGAGAATGGTGATGGTCTGACAAAGATCTTTTTGTGTTGAATACCTGGTTTAAGCTTAAGCCCATTCATAAATACAAATGAAAGGTATGGATAGAAAACCAGAAGTGTGATTACTTTGATTGTCTATAATGAACAACTGAAAGAATTAGTAAAGATAAGAGGCGTTGGTATGCTCTGAATGTGGGACAGACAGTTATTTAGTAATATCAAGAATGGATCTCAGGGAAAAAAGGATATGAAAGAAAAAATATGAAAAATGAGAGTGAAAGTAGAACAACTTCAGGAACAGAAAATACAGGCCCTGTATGAAAAAACAAAAATTAGAAGAGAGATTAAATCTCTCAACAGAATGAATGAAAAATGAATGTAAGTAAAGAAAGAGACTATGGAGGCTGCTTGGAACAAAGAAAAAGAATTCTATTACAGAACATCACAGAAGTGCTAAAGGGAGGTATGGAAAAAGGAAGTTTGGTAGAATGATGTAGCGAAAGAGGCTGTGAATGAGAAAAACATGAATAGAACATGACTGCCATAAAAAATCAGGATGAATTTTTGTGTGCTACGATGTGCACAGAAAAAAAAGTCGGTTGAAATGAATATAGTTGAAGAGCAAAATATGGCTGGAAATAAGAGACAGAGAAAATGGTAAATAATTTATACGGAAATAAAACAACTGTTTTGGAAATGAGAGAAGGCGGCTAAACAACAAGCCTCCAGCAGAGTGACTGGAATTAAAAATAAAAGTGCAGAATTGATTTGGGTGAAACTGAAATGAAGGTTAGGGCAACAATGAGCAAAATTTGAGAAGTACAGCATGGCTTTAGGCTGGGCTGGGGATGTCCAGATCAGATTTTTGTTCCTGAGCAAGTCACTGAGAATATAGGACATTGTGAAGCTGAGTTTATTGGACTTTTGTTGATTTAGAGAAAGCTCACAATAAAGTTAATAGGATTGAACTACAGAATTTATTGTGTGAATATGATTGCTGAATGTGATAAGACTATTACACTATGGAAAGTAAAGCACATGTGAGAATGAATGGAATGCTTAGTAAATGGTAAATGATGCTACACTTACGTAAGACAAGGATGTGTGATACATCCCTGGCAGTTTAATGTTTTAATGATGAATATATAAGGAGTGCTCATGATGATGGTTACATATACATGTGGATGCAGACAATGGTATTTTTGGGGCTGAGAATTCTAAAGATTTGTAGCATATGTTAGATTATATGATGTGATGATAGCTACTGATTTGAAAATTAAGGGATCAAAGATCCAGGTAGCTGTGTTTGACCAGAATAATAGAATAAAGAATGTTAAATTATACATAAATGGCATAAATCTAGAGTAATAGACAAATGTGTATACTTCGTAATGAATATGTGTACTTAGTACTTTAGTAAAGATGGGCAAATGAATGGGTGAAATTTCATATGTGCGAATGATGGCAGACAGATAGTGGGTAGTTATTTGTTGCAAGGAATAAATTTCCATCAAAAAAAGTGATAATGGCTATGTATAAGAGTGTGCTTCTGCCCACTTTGTTACATGGAAGTGAGAGTTGGCTCTGTCATAAAAGTAAGTTGAATGCAGTAGGAGTGGGACACTTAAGACTTGTTAAACAAGAAGAGATGGACTCAAGAATGAATAGGTGCTCAATGAATATGGACTGCATGCAAAAGTGAATGGCCAGGATGAAAGAATACAATACACAGAGGTGGCTTGGTCAAACAGGCAGAACACATGAGTATCCCATTGCAAAATTAATATACTGTATGAAGGAAGAGTGAATGGATCAAAAGGAAGGAGAAGCTTGAGAAATGGTTAAGGTTCCAGAAATCCTTGAAAACAGAGAGGCGAGACATTTAATGAAAATAGGAAATATATGAAGTAATATCTGGACATGATGGAAATATACATAATTTACAATGATAGCATGGCATAGAGAGGTCTAGTGAACACTGTTGGTACAAACTAGTGTCAGTATATAACTTGTTCCTATCTCATGCTTTTAATTTCCTTGGCTTACTTTTCTTACTTCTTTTCTGAGCTCTGCATAATGTTACTTACCCCAAAGAGAAAAGGGTGCTGTGTATTTATGTACATATCTGTTTTTTTTAAGTTATAAAAACTGTTTTTGTGTTAACAGAAATAATACATTTGCAGTTGAAACGTGTCAAATATAACAGAATTATTTTACAGAGACATCTAGGCATACGTTGTGATTTTCAGCCTGAGAGGCATTGGGTTTATGTCCTGGCTAAACATCTGTGAGATTAAGAAAGGACATCTGTCTATATGTATATGCAAAAAATACATACGCTGTCCCATTCCGGAGCCCAAATGGAGCAGTGTCCTCATTAGCCACAGAGTAAACGTCGTAACAGTCTTTTATTTCATCTTTTAAATCTTCAGGTATTGAACATGAGGCATTCCTCACTTTCAGCTGCCGGATACGAGGCACTCCTAAAAGCAGATTCTCGTGGTAGATGAAACTTCTGTTCTCTGCTACTGTTTTATTGTTGTACCACATCTCCCAGTATAGTCCATCCAGCAAAGGGCCCTCAGTGAACTGAAAGATTAAACGAAATGTTTTAGATTGAGGATCAGCAACGCAATGCCTCTGGTACTACTTGATGGCCTCCGCTGAATTCCAGCCTTTAAAATAAATAAATAAATAAATAAATAAATAAATAAATAAATAAATAAATTTTAATAAGAAGTTCACAAATTGCTTTGAGGATCACTGTGTCCTCACATGAGATTTGATGCCATTTTGGTCATTTAATTTAATTTGTAAATATTACTGTTATCATATACATTCACATAGCAATATTGCTATTATATAAAAACAGGTAAACAGTCTTTTCAGCTGATACTGTCACATGATTGGACATAATAAGAGCATCAATCATGTGACAGTATCAACTGAAAAGACTGTTTACCTGTTTTTATATAATAGCAATTATTTTTCCTGATCATAATACTGAAATATTAAAAAATATTAAATATTTCTTAAAATTAAAGCATAGATGATCCCTAACAATATTTACCCAAATCCTTTTCACGGGGCAGTGATTCTATATCTACTATAGGGTGCAAATGGAAGTTGAACCATTTGATGTCATACCACGATCCAGGACATGCCTATCCATTCTATATATAACTATTCACCTTGCAAACCTATGTGTAGCTAATTAGAAGATATTCGCATTGAATCCAGTGGCATTTACTATACCAAATAAGTATATTCATGATTCTAGACTCATGTGTAGTAACAACTGTTTCCAAGAGGTTTTAATTAGTGGGAAAAAGTTAGATTCATTCTCCACTAAGCCAATAGTGTGCCACAGAAGATTAACTGAGATATAGGTAAAGTAATAGTAATTGGCTTCCTTGAAAGGAATTAAAGACAATAATAATCCCTGTCAAACCTGTAAATCTCTTGACCGCTGACAGATTAAAGCTGCCTCAAACTATTTTTTTGATAATATGTTAAATCTGTGCAATGTGCATATAAATTAAACATATCAAGAATCACATTTCAATGTGTACCTTCCAGAAGTCTTCCATTGTGGACAAAGATCTGAAATTGGTCTTCCCCATCTTTGATACTGGTGTGTCTAGAAAGAGCTGGGACATTACTCTTGTGTAGTAGTAAATATTAGAATTCACCATTCCATAAGATACTGTAAGCATGAATTTGGAAATAATAAGTGTTTCAGATAGAATTTTAATCATCATCATCTTCCTCATCCATAACATATAGGCATAAAGTATTATTTTCTTATTTTCTGCATTATCAGCAAGAGTGATCTCTCATGGGGCACTTTAGGATGAACCTAGATGCTAGAGATTGTCTAAGTCTGATGTTAAGTGCAGGAGAAACAGCCACTCACTCATATATTATGTATGAATTTTCCCAGTGTCAGGCTGAAAAATAAATTCTGCAAAACAATTCTTCTGTACTCTTCCCATCAGATCCTTCATATCTTTTCACAAACACTTGGGTTCAAAGGAACCCAGGATGATGGGGAACCTGTAGTCCTCTAAAATGATAGACCCGAGAGCTCTAGCCATTATAATCACCAATGAGGGATGCAGGTGTTCAAATTAACACCTTGAAGGCCTAGAATTTCTCATTCCTGACCCAAGACACTGAGTTGACATGAACGTAAATGTATTCATAACGTTACTTTTCTGCTTTTCAGACACACTTTTCATTTCAACCTTCAACAGGAACACTACTGGTGATACTTTCACCCACTTTTCTCATTCCAGTGTTCTGTACTCTCATGCGGCATGCAAGAGGTAGACTTGATTATATATGTTCTTTTACACTGTAGGTTTTATGCACTATTGCACCAAAACTTATTTCTCCCCTTCTAGCAGCAATTCCTAGTCAATTTTCTACACTGATTTCCTGCTGGCTGATAAGGTTTTTCATACAACATACGATGTTGCAAAGTTCTGTTACTTAGCATCAAGATTCTGACAGAGGATCCAGAGTGGAAAATAAGATGGATTGCTGTGTAGGGGTATGGTTGTATATTTACGTTTTTTCTCTTTCTTTTACTTCATTTTATTTGCTGGCTAAATGACATAATAAAATTGAACTGAAATTGAAATTGTCCAGACTCAGCTTCTGAAGAAAATGTACACTGAGACAACAATGGCAGCCCTGCTTATCCAATCATTAGGACTAGTTTCAGGTACGGCACCTATTTGCTTAGATTAGACATTTGAAAAAGCAGTCAGAGCAACAAAAAGGTACATGCTTTTCCAATTTATTTCTTTGGTGTACTGAACAAATGACCAGGAAAAAAACTGCAGTGAAGTTAGCGACATTCAGTTAATCATCTGCCTACTGTAATTATAATCTCTAGCCATCATAAACTCTGCAGGAGACTGCATTGCAGACAGAAACCAGAGAGCTCTTTCAGCATTTTATGCTTCCCTAGCCACGTTCTAAGAGCCAGTTTGGTGTAGTGGTTAAGGTCAACAGGCTGACACCGGGAGTCCGTGAGTTCTAGTCCTGCCTTAGGCACGAAGCCAGCTGGGTGACCTTGGGCCAGTTATTCCCTCTCAGCCCTAGGAAGAAGCAAATGGCAAACCAGTTTAAAAACATTGCCAAGGACTTGTCTATAGTAGTTGCCAGGAGTCAAGACTGACTCAAAGGGACCAAAATAAAAAAAAAATGAAATTCCAAAATGAAAGAATGGTTCTTCTAATATCATCTCTGCATGCATCATACTGGTTTTGTAATGAAAAGAAAGCCACAATCCTCCCTTATTGTTAATAATGGTTGCATTGATAATATTGAATAATATTATAAATATTGATTCCCAAATTACTTATTTTAAAAAATAATATTTGTGTGTGTGTGTGTATCCACCTTTTTTATATATATAATTCAAGGCAACAAACATACCTAATACTCTTGCCTCCTATTTTCCCCACAACACCAACCCTGTGATGTGGGCTGGGCTGAGAGAAAGTGAGTGGCCCAAAGTCACCCAGCTGGCTTTATATGCCTAAGGGATATATAAATTGAATGCAATATGTGTAGAGGACTATGGAGATAGCCTTGAAGAAAATATACGGCACCTGTTGACAAACATGAACTTAGCTCAGGAAGACAGGAATGCATGAGAAAGAAACTCAAGATTGCCCCAGTTTGAGTCTCTTTGGTATAGACAGACAGAGGGAAGGAGAAAAGCTATCAGGCTTTCAAGGTTCTGATATTATAGCTTATATCAACTGAGTTCTAGTATTTTTTTGGGGGGGGGTGTCTGTTTCCTGACCTGGTCCACCTTGTAGAGCTGACAGTATGGCATTTATTGATTTATGTCAGTAGCAATTCTCCAAAATTGTTATATCTATTGTAGCTGATTTTTTGAGAATCTCAGACTATACATTCTTTCTTCTTATTCTTAAATAGTAGAAATTGTAATCTACTTTTAGAATTATCAGAATGGTTTCTTAGACTGTTTTCCCTACATCTTGAATCAATCTACAGCCATATGAATTAAAGAGAAGTTTTTGGAAGACATTATATCTGAATTAGCAGTTTTCTGAACAACGTCAAATCTGACTGGAAAAGCAATATTCATGGCTTTGAATGAGGAAATCTTACAGAACTCTATTCCATAACATATTAAATATTAGTTTACTATCACATTAAAATACCAGCAAAGACTACTTACAGATAGACAGGATCACAAGAAAAATCAGATATGTTATTAGCTCACGTAAAACACTTTTTAAGTATTTCTCTCGAGTTGTAGTTTCTTCCATGAGCCGAGTACCCCACAGACCTTAAAGAGAAGAATCAGGAACCCGTAAGAAATACGATGTGTTGCCACATGAACAGCATCTGTACAAACCAATAAATGTTTGCTGTTGTTTAGTATGATATATAAGCCAGGACATTTATTTCTACCCTACAAGATTAATATAAGGTTTACTTTATATTGTTTTAATAAGTTATACCTACTAACCAGAAAAACAAGGAAAAGAACTAGTCAGGGAAGAAAGATTTCCACCTACCATGCAATAACTGATCACATCATTTGCATCAATATTATATCATTGCAGTTCTAAATTCTACCAAGATAGCTTAAGCAGAAGATCAGTTCTTTCTTTCTTTCTTTCTCTTTCTTTCTTTCTTTCTTTCTTTCTTTCTTTCTTTCTTTCTTTCTTTCTTTCTTTCTTTCTTTCTTTCTTTCTTTCTTT